GTAAATTTGTAATTACTATATACATATTATATAAGCTATTGCTGTGCACATTATATACAACGCGAGAGATAACATGCACAATAAAATAGGTAAAATTTATGCTTTCCGAACGTTTTAGTCTTTATAGTCCGAAAAAAAAAACATCATATTAAGATTTATGAGCACGTACATATTCAACCGAATTGCCTTCGTTGTACGAAGACATTTTAAAATTCACAAATTTGGGAGGAAGAATAAAATTAAAATAAACAAGTAAAATATATATATATATATATGTATATAATATAATATTATATAATTTTAATTTATGTAACTATATTTGAATATACTTAAATCAGTGGGGATGACAAATAACAAATTACGTAATGCCGGCCATACACGTTACGGTCTACCGGAGAGGTATACCTGCGCAGGCATGCCTGTGCAGGTATACCGGACGTCGTTTGTGTCTCCGGTGTACCGGAGAGGTCTTCAGTTTTTTCATGATGGCATGCCATACACCGTACGGTGAGGCTAGAAAAAATTGATTTTCGATCTTGCACCGGTCGCCTGTACAGGTCAAAAAAACTGCACAGGTCTATTCCCATACACACTACGGTCTACCTGCACAGGCATGCCTGCGCAGGTAGACCTCTCCGGTAGACCATAACGTGTATGGCCGGCATAATTAACGTTATTGTTCATCACACGTCACACGTTTTTCAAAATTGATTGAAACGCGTGGCGTGGAATTAAGTGTTAAAAATATGATCACAAAACTGATTGATATTTAAAAATTGCAGCGTTTTAAGGCTTAGCGTATAAATGCGTGTTGCGGGTTGTGAATAGTGTACTAACGTTTGATTAGTGTACTACTTCTCGGTCCGTGTACTTGTGTACTACGCATGGGCGTAACTTGGAAATTTATTAGGGGGGGGGAGCAAATATATAATTACATATCTGACGAAAAGGGTGTCCGCGGCCAGGGTTGGACTAGCTCTATAGCTCGGCCCGGGCAAAATAATTTCGAATGGCCTCAATGAAACTTTATAAGTAGGTAGGTACCTAATCAAATTATTGTTTAACTGAAAATGTATCTTCGTAACTCAAAAAACAATATACACACAAGTACATTTGAATATTTTTAGATATAATGTTATACCTTAAATAAATATAATTTACGCATAATATATTTTATCTATAATATTGATATAATGACCTACCTATTAAGATAAATTTTACACCATAAAAAATGGTTTGATTTAAATATGTTTATACATTTAATTTTAATTGAGTTAGAACACTAGGGTTAGCAACTAATTTCTCTTTTATGCAGCCTACAGTAAATTTCAAAAATAGCAAATGTCATTAAATATCATATAAATTTTTTATATTGTCTGACCCTAGAACCATTTTAAATTTGTGAATGTGGCCCAAAGGTCCATATAGGTTGCCGACCACTAAATTAGAATCAACATATTGTTTTTAATAAAATAATTGCTTACCGGTAATAATTAACTTGAAGTCAACAAAGAGGTTGGAAACTAGTAACAGACTCGTATAATAATTATTTATTTAGACTATTGTTCAACTAGTAACTGAACGTCAAAACTATTAAAATGCTTTTAAATAAAAGTCTAATAAATCTTATAAAATTATTATTATCGAAAAACAATTTCGTAATCGCATATCTTTCATGACCGTGTCTACCCATCCCAATATTTTCTTTTGGTTAAATGTTGTTTGAACAAACGCGAACGGTACGTCGTATGATTAACATATTGTACACATCTTTTATATTCAAATTTCCTACAATTTTTCTATTTATAAATATTTTGATGAAGTTATTATTGTCAATCAGCTTATCTCGATATTAGGACCCCTTTCACACTACACCACTACGGTGGCGCGGCCAAAAGAAACACAGAACTAGATTATGATTTTCACACATGGTGACGTGGCCAAATTGGTGGCGTCCCCAGTCGCGAAGGTCGCGACCAAAATAGCTGGACGCGCGATCACATAAAGTGGCGCCACCAAAACATTTATATGGTGTCTTATGAAAAACGGGCATTATTTTCAATTGATCGACCACTAGACGTATCTGCACTGTGTTTAACAAAATGGACAGCATAATTTAATAATCATAATCAAGACGTCTATTGTTAATTTTTTTTAAGTATTATAGTACATAACCTTTTCGGCATTCTTAAAGATGATTTAACCGGCCAACATACAAATATGAGAAACTGTATTTCACCTGTAGAAAAATTGATCATAACTTTAAGGTAAGATATATATTGGTTAATAAATATCTTACCTTAAAGTTACGATCAATTTTTCTACAGGTGAAATACAGTTTCTCATATTTGTATGTTGGCCGGTTAAATCATCTTTAAGAATGCCGAAAAGGTTATCAAATAAACTGATCGACATTCTTAAATAATTAAAAAAATGTTCTTCATATTTTCTTAAATCATAGTAAAATAAATTGAATAAGCCTTTTGCCGAGCGATCAGCAATTAATGAATGTACTCAGAACTTCCTGTTTTTTTTTTCTTTGCACGTCTACTACAGCTGTACAAATAAGCAACACATGTAAACTCTTCAACTTCCATTTTGGAACTAAATATTGGTTTGATTAGTTTGTTTGAATGTTGTACATTGTAAAATAAAATAATAAAATAATGTGTCTGGTGGCGTGTTTGGTGGCTATACTTTTTTGATGGCGTCACCATGGCCGTGTGAAAGGGGCCTAAATATGTTCAATTTTCAAACTCCGAGTTATCTAATCCTGTGTCGCCGCATTCATTAGTAATGTCATGTAACAAGGCGATATTTTTAATTTTATTTTAAGAATAGAAGATAGACACATTAAATTAAAAACAAAAAAACTTAGCAATTTTATTTAACCGAAATTACAGCAGCCCACAGGGGCATGCCCCGGTGGCCTAGTCCAACCCTGTCCGTGGCTAAATGCTGCTTTACTAACTACATATTATTATACAAAATTATTAATTTTCTAACATTATGTTAGATGAGCAAAAATTGAAAATTAAGATTTAAAAAAAAATAATTACATAGTAATAGCTATAACAAGTTGTTTTGTACTTATTTCAAAATAAGATATATTGAATATCAGAGGGGGCACTGCTCCTCTTTTCCCCCAAATGTTACGCCTATGGTACCACGATTTTATTTTTATTAAGGGTACACATAATCAGTAGCGCACCTAGGATTTTCTTTTTGTGTGTGTGTGTGTGGGGGGGGGTTTGGCCATTAATAATTTACTATAACAATTAATGTTGTATCTAATTTTACATTAATGTTAACCTTATGCAATCATATTGTTAAACATTGTACAAAAACAGTATATACTATTTATATTTGCACATGGAAAATAAACCCCTAACATGATATTATTTGTTATTATTCAGTATACTTAAAACTTCTTAATTTATCATGAACAGTTTATAAGGTCAACGGAAACTAAATGAAAATTGTTAACTGTAAAACATAGTTAGGTAAGGCTAAAATTTAATAAAGGAAGATATTTTGGGTGGGAGGTTATGACCTCTTAACCAACCCTGTGTGCACCACTGCACATAATTATAAAATTAGGAGGTGGTTAAGTGTTCCCTCCACTACACCAAAATTATATGTATATCCTGATCTCATGTGAACTCCTTTATATTCTCTTTCATCACAGTATTTGGGTAATGATATGCAATAATTGAATTATTCCATACACGAAGTTTGTTTTATGACAATTCAAGATGACTTATCTAAGAAAATCAAAGACATACCTGAATTAGTTATAGTAGGTACCTACATTTATAACAATTACTTTATACTGTATGACTAACACTGAATTATAAGTGATTGACTTTGTGATCGCATGTTTAATGTGCACTACCTTTCTATGTATGAATTTATATATTGTTATAATTACTCATTACATCTTTTATTATAACATTACATGTTATTAAACTGATGACAACTTCGTCCTGTACTATTTGTGCTCATTCATGATTATAATATTAATAGTTATTCTAATGCAATTACTTCTGTGAAAAGGAGGTTTTCCCATATAATGCTATTCTTAAGACCTAGATTTTTGTATGTCCGTAACATTTACATACAATTTATAATAATTTAGGCAAAATAATTAAAATTTATTTTCTCCGATGTAACAGAATTGTTAAGAAATAATCAAAAAGTTAGACACATTGACATAATTCACAAAAATATGTTTATTATTTCAAAAATACTTGTTTTATTTTTACTGTAATTATTATAATAGTTGATGTTAGTATAAATATTTTTTCATAAGAAATATGTCAACACTTCAGTATATTTGACCCAGTTATTTTCTATAATGGCTACTGAATATTAATATTATGTTTAGTTTACATTTTGTTTTTTTTCAACCTGTAGTGGAAGTAGTCGTCAATTTAGAATGCATTTTAATTAATGCTTTTGCATTCTAAAGTTATCTAAAATCTAAAAAAAAAAGTCAGATTATCATGTATTTATTAACATTATTCCACTACAATATAAATAAAAAATAAATTTATACAACATGAAATTACCATATATTGTTACATACAAAAATAATATGTAATCAATGTTTTTATTTTCAAGATGTACATAATAAGTTTATAAAAATCACAAAATATTTTTAAAAAGTTTATTAAATATAAAAACAAATCAAGAGTATAGTATAAGAAAAAATTAACACCAGTTACTTTTTGATAGATTAATTAACAATTAACCTTAATTAAAATATTTCCAATAAAAAATAATAACAACATAACATACTTAATTCAATCACATAAAAAACAAATAAAAAAATAATAAGTTATAAAAATAACCCACTTACAATCTTTTTAAACAATGAAGAATACACCTAATGTAAAAGATTAAAAAGAAAAAAAGAAGTGCTTTAAAAATTTTTCTTCGGTAAAAAGTAATAATTTTAGATAAATAGAATAGTAATCGCTCTACTAAATTAGATTTATTTATAGATTTGATTTTAAAAATGGTTTTAAATATTTATAAAAAGATATATTAACAGGATCTTGATTTAAAGGGCTTTTGTTAGCATCTTCTATTAGACGCTCATAGACATTTCCATCATATACTCCTAAAGCAGAAGCCAATATTTCATCTCGTACATCAAAACTATCTACCAACCCTACTGCATTGGGTCTAATACATCTTAAGCATTCTTCTAATAAAGACTGTACTGATGGAACATCATTTGATTTAAGATTTGAATACTAGAAAAAAAAGGAAATAATAAAAATGTTAATAGAATAAAATAAGAACTTATACAATAAAGACACTTACCTGAAGGAAATCACCTAATTGATTTATAATCCAATGACAACAAATTAATTTACACAACTCTGTAAGTACTTTCATTAACTCTGCTGAAAGTTTTACAGTTTTAAGTGTTGTAATAAAAGTGTTTATTACAAATGCTCTACAGTGTGCCTAAAACAAAAAGTTTAACATTATTTTATTATACAGATAAGGAATAATAAAAAATAACTATAAAACAAATTAAACTAAAAATTACTTCAGTTGCTTGAGTTAATTTAATAGTATTTTCATTCCAAGCATCTTCTTGAGACATTCCAGAATTTACTAATTGGTTTATAGTGAAGTAGCAATTTTCAATTTTACTAAAAATGTCAATAATGATAAAATATCATTATTATTAAGATACATTGTACAAGAAATACAAAATTTACCTTCCAGCAACTTGTGTAAATGCATTGTTCATACATTCTAAATTTGTGTTCCAGGTCTTACGTCTTGAGCTTTTGAAAGTATTTAAATACGATACAGTTTCAGTTAGAATTAAATTACATTTTGCATCATGACATGATTTAAACAAAAACCTTTAAATTTAAACTGGTGATTAACAAGAGATAAATACTTAAATATTATTATTTATATGGCCAAGAAATACACTTTATATTATAAATAAAAGTTAAATACACAATTAATAATTTACATGCAATTTTTTTTTTTTACATAATTTGACAAAAAAAAAAAAAAACCTTAGCTTGAAATGAATAATGCTTAAAATTTAAATATATTACCTTGCTGTTTGCAAAAGAAGCACAGTATTTTCTCCTTCATATGTTTCAGTGGCAGATGTCATTGCATACATATTTGGAAAATTACTGCAATTCATATATCCATGTCCCCCACATGCTAAACGACATTTTGTTACTGCAACAGCAGCATCAGCAGTACTGACAGCTTTTAAGCAGCATGCCATTGCATGTAACTACAAAATAAAGTAATTCTTAACTAACTTATATATCTGTTTTATTATGAATATATTTTGTTAAATAGTTTCTTGAAATTATACCTCTGGCAATTTTCCTAAATTGCCTAAATCTAACTGTGAAGTTACTTCATTATAAGTATCCCAAAGCCACATTGCAGCAAACTTGTATGCTAAGCTAAGGGCTATAGCTGGAAAAATTTTATATTGTTGTGTTTGGTAATCTAAAATTTGAGATTCACCTGCACTAATATCATAACAAACATTAGTATAAATACATTATAATAAAAAATATTTATGTATAACAAGCTCATTTTTAAAATAAATCATTAATATTTACCCGGGCTTAAGTTCTGACTGTCTTCTAACACAACTATATCTAGTTGCTATTATTGCAGCTTTTGATACATAACTACATACTAAATCTCTAACAATCACTACACGAACAAAAATCATAGTACCATATGTTAGTTTGTCATTTACTGATTTTTTGTAAGTTCCGTCCTTAAAGAAAAAGAACAAATATAGTTTTAACAAATAATTAAAATAATTAAACTTTTGGTTTAACATTTTTAAAAATGTATTATAGTATCTAAACAACAAAAATATTTATAAAATAGACACAATAGGATAAGCTATAAAGTATAAATAATTAGTGTAAATAATAAATAGCAAAAAAAAAAAAAAATAGAGCTCAAATGTTTATGACTAAAAGTTTATCAAAATATGCATTTGGATAAAACAAAATATACAATTATATGTTTAATAAGGTAGTTTTTTAATTTTTAACACAAAAAATTATATATTTATCCTTGAGTATGCAATTTTAATTTAAATTATTTAAAAAATAAAAACAATATTCACCTTAAGAACTTGGGCATTTTTCATAAGCATATTCATTCTAGGTATTCTCACTTTATCGAAAGCTAAATACCCATTATTAGTTGAATTCATTCCTAATTTACTTCCAATTTCGCCGATTTTTATTCCTTATATAATATTTGAATTAGTTACAATTTTACAATTACAAGAATTTATTTGTTATTAATATATTACCAGGCATTGGATTCCATGTTTCCTCATCTCTGAGTTGAACTATAAATGGGTGTATACCAAAACACTCTCCTTTGGTGTAGAGCTGAGCCATTACAACTGCATAGTTACAAGTATGTCCAACTAAAATTAAAAATGATATAGTATTTATATTAAATTAATTTTAAAGTTACTCACGTCCACCAGGCCACCATTTATATGACGTTAATGTAGGACTATTCAAAATAAATTCTTCTGCAGCTGGATCATAAGTACAAGTTGTTTCTAAGCCTCGAATAAATGTCCCATGACCAAGTTCAGTCTGTAAAAAGTTAATACAATACACAATCAATGTCGTAAAAGAAAATATTTTGATTTCAAATTTTATAGATGTGGGAGCATTTATAGTAAATATTCACTAGAATGTTAAAACTTTCTAGATATAATTCTTTTAAATTATTTAAAAAAAAAAAATAATAGTTCAATTTTTAAAATAATGATCAAGATTTTGGATATATAGGGATTTACATTGCATAAAACAGAATAACAAATAGTAAAATACCTGAGCGTAGGTTCCTATAATTTGATTGCTAAAAGCTCGACCAACCCAATATCCTTGCTGTTCCAATGTTCCCTGACCCATAATGGTTGGTATAAACATAACATAATGCACAGAAAAAGGTGTACCATCCTTAATTATTGCACTACCTATTGATCCACCTAAGAGTGATCTGAAATTTTAATAATAGGTAATTTATTATATATATATTACTATTAAATATATGTATAATTTTAGATTCATACTTGTATATTTCCATGGAACTGCTAGTACTCTCATCAGATTGTTGCCATTCATTCACTTTTTGGAATAAAATACAACTTTTACGTACAGCATGCTCATAACGTTCTTTGTGACTTAAATATTCCATTGGAACTTCATCCTTCAATCTCGGATCAGAAAGGAAAAAATTTTCTAAATTATAAATAAGTATGAAAATAAGTCCAACAATTAATTAACATAAGAATATCCACAAACCAAGTTTTCTTCTATTCAAGGTTTGTGTAGCACCTCCATCCAAAAAATTAGTGAGTTCTTCAACATCAAAAGTGCATTTTTCACGTTCTTTTAGCAGATCAGCATTGACAGTCAATTTCATTTTAACTCTGTAGGTATACAACTACAATTTACCAAAAAAAAACCCTATTGCAAGGCTATATGTTTATAATATTTTGGCTCAATTGTAATACTGTTATTACTATATATGATATAATGTATGTGTGTAGATGCATAAAATAACAAACAAAAAATAAATGTTAAAACGATAAGAGTAAAAATATAAAAATACTAAATTAACAACAGTGGAATATCTCAGATAAAATGGTTGTGAAAGTTAGTCATTAAGTAAATAACGTAATATGAGAGTGAAACGAAGATGGGAAAAGCAAGCACAACGAAATATTTACCCAAACTAAAATTAATATAATTGCGAAGGCGAAGGCAAAATACGGGTAAAAACGAAAAAAATTAAACCAATGTCGGACGCGTAAAAAAATGGAAATAGAGGACGGTTCCAGTGGGTCATTGAGAGGTACCGAAGGCACCTCGTATACGTTCAATATTGCGTAAACGCCTTGTAGCACAAAACAAAATTACTAAACAACACGCATACGTCTACAGCTAACATACGAACAGGTGGCCTTCGACGGACGACGGGGAATGGTCGATAGTTATCAATTTCCCGAGAACGAAGATAGCCCCAGCGTGAAGATTACGATTTCATTAAATCCTGTGCGTGATTTATCAAGAAATAACTTATCCGAAATCTGGTTCTTACCACGGCACGAGAGATTCGTAGGTTTAAAGAACGGTTTATACCGTTCGTACAGATGCTCATTCCACGGTATCCGGTGAACTCGCCATCGTCTGCCCCATCAATATCAATGTGGGACATACCTACTTATTTTTGATTACGGACTTTACGTGTCACAAGTACTGTTTGGAAAAATAAAAATAGTAGTGATACAAAAATATGTAAAAGTAAAGAGTTCGGATGTCGTTCAATGATCAAGTGAAAAATAAAATATCCTTACAACCCCGGAAAAAAATGTCCCTTATCAGAAATATAAAAGTTTTCAGCTGCTGCGCAGCTTCTCCATGAGAACGACTGTCGAAAAATGATATCGTATTGAAAACAATACAATATAAATATAATAATGTAATCAATATTTCCGAGTTTAACCTTAAAAACAAACAATTTTTGCCGTTCCAGCACTATAGTTGTGTATGTACATAGTACATGGCCTAAGTATGATTTACCTGAGTAGATAATATTACACTCCATCGTATTCTTATAGATATTTTATGGTTCTTGAATGCGTTTTAAAATATTATCATTATTTATGCGTACAACAGTGTTAATGTTAAATTGATTGCTAGATTTATCATATCAGTTTAGAAATTGGTAGAACTCTCGTTACCAAAATCAATTGTTATTCAAATTATTAATATAACACGTTTACCGCAGGTGTTTTAAAATTTATCAGGCAAACTTTCATGTAAACAAGGAGACTTTTGTTCGTTTGAACATTGGTCGAACCAATAAATCGAAACATTGTCAAACATGTCTGTCAAATATGTATTGGTTTCTGATGAAGAATATGGTGAAGCTGTTGAACTTCCATTAGAAGATAATGGCTCATTACTATTGTCTACATTAACGGCACAGTTTCCGGGAGCTAGTGGACTAAAATTTCGTACGGAAAATAATGTTGTGAGAGGTGTTCGATTAGCTGATGGTCGATTCCATGTACCTGATAATGAATGGGGAAAGACTCCATATTATTGTGTTTTCCCTAAAGGTATTTTACTTAATTAGCTCATACTATAATAAAAAACAATATTTTAACTTGTTTGACTTTATACTAATTTATAAATAATTAGTAAGATTTATTATTATGTAGGTATATGCTTAGATACTATGTTCAAACAATAACTAACTAGTCATTAAATCATGTAATCATTTATTTTAAGAAATTCTTTTTTAAAATAAATCAATAATTTCCTAGGTTGTAATCATATTAGTTAAATATTATATACTTAGTTATAACAACTATGATTTTTAAATATCCTAGATATTAATAAATTTAATATAGACGGCCATAAGAAAATTCTTAGTTCTTATACTACTATTTTTACCCATGTTTTAATATTATACCTTACAAAAATAATTTTTTGATAATTAATTTTTGTTTTTCTTGGTTCTATAATATTGTCATTCAGCAACATTTTCCATAAATTAGATATTTTTTAGCACAATTTTAAATGTGTATGCGTTGATATTCTTTTATGACGTAACTTAAAACTTTAATCAATAAGTTTTTTCTTATTTTGATGATTTTTTTATATCCAATTATTATTCCTAACTGGTTACTAAAATTATGTATTGTTTTACATGATCACAATTATAATATTTTATAGAAATTTTAATAATATTAAAATGTATACTAACAATAAATTAAGATACAATGCAGATATTCTAAAAAAGTGGTTTGTAAATGTAAAGAGTATTTATTTCTTATTTCTATACATTCTACAATACTTGTTGTATTTTCATTTTATCATGAAACAATTAATAAATGGCTATTTATTAAATATTTTATTTTATTTATGTAAGTTAAATAACTATATATTAATTAAGCTTTTTATTGCAATTAGAAGTCCAGTTTAAATTGAATGTTATATATGTTAACACTTAAACTGTTGCTGTTTAAATAATTTTAGATACCTTGATGTTAATGATTTCAAAATTAGACTAAATAGTTATATTAAATGTATTTAATTTTATTTAAGTTTTCTTTTTTCAATTTATAAAAATAAATAAAGAAAAATAGTTATTAATTTGTAATTTATTGTATAGGATATGTCACTGTTTTAGGTTGGGTTATTTAACCTATTTTTTTATAAACAATTTTTAATGTTTTGAGATTTCAGTTTTATAACTTATTAATTTAAAAAATGATTTAAGATATTCAACTATGTTTTTAATAAGGATATGATATCTGAGACCTTGTGACTTTTGAAGTTACTTTATTATAGCCAATTGGTTAATAATCTGTCAACTAATATGCTATACAAAAGCACTGCATGTATAATAATTAGATTTAGGGTTTAATAATAGGTTTAAGGTTTACTAATAAGTTTTTTAAAGAAAAATTATTTATAGTATTTAGCTTTATATATTTAAGTATATCTAATTGTTTTTACATTTTGTATTACTCATTTATGTATCATAAATTGTTCTAGTGGAAAATAAAAGGAAGATTGATGATAGTGTAGAAAATCCAACAGCTAAGACAAAGAGATTAGAAACTAAATTGAAATGTTCAGATTTAGTTGTCTTAAATATACCATATACTTATGATGAACAAAAATTAAAAGAATATTTTGGTCAGTTTGGAGAACTACTAATGTTACAAGTAATTATAATAAGTAGAAGCTTATCAACCTCATTATCAAGTTTTTCATTCCATTATTTTCATATTTTATTTTTAACACTTCATTATTATTAGATTAAGAGAGACAAAAATGGACAATCTCGAGGATATGGGTTTTTAAGATATACCAATTTGGAGTCACAAGTTAGAGTTCTTTCTCAACGTCACAAGATTGATGGTCGTAACTGTGAAGTAAAAGTTCCAAAATCTAAGGTAATATACATTTTAGTCACCCATTATTCATTATATTTTTATTAACTAAAGTATTTCTATAATTTAGGAAGGTAATAGTTCAGAACTTTCTGGAAAAGTATTTGTTGGTCGTGTTACAGAAGATTTATCAGCTGATGACATTCGTGAGTATTTCAGCAAATTCGGAGAAGTCATCAATGTTTTTGTGCCCAAAAATCCATTCCGTGGATTTGCTTTCGTAACCTTTCTTGATCCTGAGGTAGCTGCTAGCTTGTGTGGTGAAGACCATATTGTTAAAGATGTTTCTGTTCGTGTTTCTGAAGCTGCCCCTAAACCACAAGTACCTAAAAATCGTCATCAAACTCCTCCACCTAGTGAGCCATGGGAGCGTTCTAATAATCGCCTTAATGACAATTATCGAAATTGGTATCATTCTCTTGATAATCGAGGAAATGTAGATATGCCTAATCTTCAATCTTTGGGTATTAATGGACAAGACAGTTATCCAATGATGCCTTTAAGTCCTGCTATTGTTGCTGCTGCATTAACACAGGCTGCTGGATGGAGTTTAGCTAATGGCCGTATGATGCCACCTCCACCACCTCCTAATGGGAACAATCAATGGTCTCAGCGAAATAACTATAACAACAGGAAACGTGCTAATAATGATTACAATTCATCAGGAAATCGTTAAATGAGATAATGGTAATTTAATAAAATGTTAAATGAAAAATATATGTTAGGAAAATTATTTATTATCCTGAAATAATGCCAGTTCTCACAACTGTTTTGATTTTTCATTAATATACTTTGTACATATTTCATTATGTATAATAAAACTGGCTTGTATTTTTAATTTAAATTTCGTTCAAGAAGGCATTGCTGTTGGAATAACAATCATTTTTATTCAAATACAACATGTTTTCAATATGAAGTAGCATGGCCGAAACAATCTTATTTTACTGGACAAATTTATTTGTTAATCAAAATTAAGAAATTCATTTACACACTTATCATGTGTATATATAAATATACACATTAATTTATAGTTACAACACAATTGTTTATATAAAAATATTCTTAGTTATATAATTCTTATTTAAATTATTTTAAATTATTAAAATATATTGTCCTTTGGTGGTACGAATGATCTTACAAACAGAATGAATGTAATTTGTTTGACATTTTTTGATTGAAAATTATACTATCTTATTTGAGACTTGTAAGAATTGTGTTTTGCCTTATAATTTTAACATAATATGCTGCTACCATAGTATATATAAGAAATAAAAATGGTCTTGCTTTTTATATAAAGATCTTTTATTATGTGTCTGTATGTCTAGTGTGTTACTTAAGACTGGATTTTTTATTATATAAAGAAAATTATGGATGGTATTATGGCTTTCAATATCCACAATACAGTTGAAAATGATATCATAAATAATTATTAATTGTATTATATGCTATATTCTTAAAATAGTATATGAACCTGTATGTTAATACATTAGGTTTCTGCATATTTAAAATTGTATACTATTTTATTTATTTGAATATATACTAGTATATATTCAAATTTACTAGTTTTCCAAAAATATTGTATTATATTATATACAAAGTTATAAGTGTTATGTTATATACCTGTTTGAACCCATTATAGGATTAAAAAAAAAAAAAAAATTAAAAATATGTTTATTATGTTTCCGTGGCATTAAATATTTTTATTTGTTTTTCTTAATAGTTTGTGTATTACATAAATATTTATAAAATCTATAAAAAATGTATGCACAAAATTTAATTTTCAACATCATATAATATTCAAATATAATAAAAATAAAATTATAAATGTTGTTTCATTTTACAGTTAAATAATATAGAATATTATATAGTAGTCAATCTTTTAGTTTTAATATACTTTGTCTAAGTTTTAATAAACAATATCAAATATTAGAGCTTTTGAAGGTTAAAATATTCTCTTTTTTTTTTTGTATTTTGTAATATATTTATTATATTTTACAAAAATAATATTTTAACTTTTTTAAGTTATATTAAATAATAATTATTTGAATAATTTTTATTATTAAATAAAATGTCTATGATTGAAGTATATTAAAAACCATGATTGCCATAATCCTCCTTGTATTTAATTATTTCTAGTCTGACTGAATGAATGATGATTTTAATCTTATTATCATTATTGTTATTTTTATTGGTGCATAGAAAACATTTATTGTCTGCATAGAATAAGTTGTTGAAGTTAAAACTTGTACTAAATGTGTGTAAAATCATCTGCCTGTATGAAGTACTCTGATTAAACTGAGTTAAATATGTCTTACAATTTCAACTTCGAATAATATGATATTTATTTCTTATTATTAAAAATAAAAATTGAAATTTGGGCTATAATATTGTCGAATAGCTGTAAATTTGTGTCGATGAATGTCTTCAACAAACGGAACATCTCCAATGTTTTGTAAGTATGTATGTTTTCATGTGTATTTGCTCAGTTTCTCTATTACGTATATTTTTTTGTTTGTTTATTATCCCAGCATGTATGTTTTATTTTTCCTTTATCTATAATATATAGTTTTAAACTATGATCCAGAATATATTGATTAGCTTACATTTAAGTTCATTTTAATGTGATTCTGTTACTGTTCTGTTTGGTATACATAATATATACGTATAGGTATTTCTTATTAATGCTTATTATTTTAAGTGTTAAAAATAGTGTTAACATTTTTATTCATTTAAAATATTTTTGAAACAGTAATTAATTTAACTTATTTTATTAACTCATTTCAGCTTCACTTGTGAATTTTCATTGGCAAGTTCCGAGGACTAAATATTATCAGTCATTTTCAATATGAAATTTAAAATATTTGCAAGTCGTTAAGTAAATACATTAATATTTCTTCTTTATGATAATTCAGATACACTAATTTTTCTTTTTTCACTTTTACTTAATATTATTTTTCATTCGTTTTCAGGAAAGTACTTTGAAATGAGTATGAATGATTATATGAAAATAACATTCTTCAATGGGTTAGTATTTAATTTTTTTTTTTTTTTTTTAATTTTATTCTATCTTTAATTTGTATAAATTAATCGATTTGCTTCATTATTTTGTTACACCTATATTTTTGGTATCATGGTTATCATTTAACATATTTAAAATCCCTTAACTAATTCACTATTTAGTAATTACTACTTAAACATTATTTATTGTAATCCTGAGGTTAACTCAAAGGATATGAAGTTCCAATAATGAGTAAATATTTTAGTGAATACTCTTATTAGAAAATAATTATTTCATTATTCAAATTGTTAGTAAATTAAATGTTAAAAAAGATAAAATAATAGTTAATTATTAATTTACACTGGGTGCTGATATAAAATTACTTTTCAATTTAGAATTGATTTTATACAAATGAATCACAATAACAAATTATATTTTAAATCCCTTCTGATAAATGATAACTATTTTTGTCACTATAGGTGAGTTGATTCCCAAGACCTATTTTATGTATTAGTTGATTCCCGGGTCATTAAGAAGTATGTACGAGTTTATTCCCTATTGTATATTAATTATCAATATATTGCATGAGTAAAGAGCTTATGACTGTAAAGAGTTCGACCATCACATATCAAATAACTAAATTATTTTATATTTTTTTACCTTACTACTAAATGTTTTTAATAATAATTTTTTACCTACTACATTTTTTTATTAACCCGGCGTTAGAAAATATAAAACAAATGTTTTATTAAAAATGTAAAAAGAGTGCGGTCATTTTGACCATAGCGCGACTAACGCCAGATTAATAATTGAATGGTTTTCAAAATATGAAAAAACTAAAAAGAACATTTTTGAGAAACTTGTCAGCCAACCTCTTCGTAGTGTTTCTTGGGTTATGCTATTAGGCTGAATATTTTACTAAATATTGAATAAAATATATAATGACTCGGGAATCAACTTGTTCATACTTCTTGATGACCCGGGAATCAATTCAATGGTATTGGTGGAGGTAAACAAGTACCCGGGATACCTTTTTACAGCAAAATTTCTGCAGTACTACTTCTAGTATACAATTATATTTAAAATAAACATACATGTGGAACTAGATTTGTACCAAATTTCAAAAATATTCTTAATTATTTACAATGATTGATAGATATAACAATACATAATATTGCTACGTTGAGAGTCAAAATATTTTTAATTTATGCAATAGCTTGAGTTAAATGCATAAACATTTCTTGTTAAATATGCGGAATGCAATGCTAGTTGACCATTGCACCCATTCAGTATAATAAAATCTTGGTTTTATTAAGAAATACCAATAATAATATTACTATGATGATTTATATTTCATATCTTATACTACATTGTGATGAAAATAAGTGTTGCATATAATTAGGGCTCGGGACTTTTAGGAACTTGCATGTTTTTAAATAATTATCAAAAACATAGCTAAGTAATATATAAATTTGTTTCATAGCAATACAAGTTTATATTTAAAATTTATAGTTGCATATTTTGCATATTTGACCATTTTTTATTTATAAATGCATATTTGACAATTATTCATATGAAGGAGTAAGTTTTTAAATTTTATAAAAAAAAATTATAATTTATTTCTTTATATATCATGTGACTTGGAACTCAGGTGTCTTATTGGTGCACTAACTGAATGCATTAAAATAATTAAAACTACAAAAAACGTATACATTCTGCAAAAATTGAAGAATCTGCACAAGCTAAGGCTAACTACTAAAAATATTGAACATTTTAAATGGAATAATGAATCTATGGATGGATTGCCTGCAGATATTAGTAGTAGTGACCTACGAATTTTTAAGTTTGCACCAATAAGTTCCGTAGACGTGTATTGTTCCTTTTCTAAATATAAAATTATTTTGTCTGATAACAGGCAGTCATTTAAATTTTCTAACTTAAGAAAATATCTTATAGTCCAATGTAATGCTCAAAGTTAGAAGAATTATAACTCTATTAAAAATAAAAAAAATGTTTTCAATTTAATTTATTTTTAAAACCATTTTAAGTATTTTGTTTTAGATAAAGACTCAATATAAAATGAAAAAAAATTTGAAAGAAAGAAAAAATTATCTCAGATTATCATATCTATCATATATAAAAATATTATTATAATTTTTTACTAGTTAAATTTTTTTATTTAATTAATTATTACAAATATAATTTTTTTTAAATTCATATTTTAATAGCATATTTATTGATTTTTTTAGGGCATAAATGCATACATATTTTAAGGTTTTTAAGGGCATGAAGTCCCTAGCCCTACATATAATCAATGACTGTTAACCATTTATAATTATTTTAAATTCTATCTTATAATAAGCATAAATTTAATTATAATACATTTTTAACAATAGAAAATTTATCATAAACCATCGTAAGAATTTATCATAGGGAAATTGAGGATAATTGATTTAAAGTTTGGAGTGCTGAACACTCTTTTCCTTTATTTGCATATTCTGAACTGTACAAGGTATCCAATTATCTACTGGAAATCCTATTCCCCTTCTTCCCATGGGCTTATTAGATACGCATCAACATAATTCCTATCCGTGATATGGTTGTATTTTAATCTTAATTTTTGTTTTATTCACTAATTATTAATTATCATATGTTGAAATACTTAAATGAGAATTTTGAATATTCATATTAAAAATTACCCATAACTTATATATAGTATACCACAAATTCGTATATTATTGGCATTGAACTATTGGAAGTATTATAATATAACCAAGTCTTGGAATTTAATGTGTTGAAAATAGTTTGAATATGTATAAATAATTTGTGTTAAATTAATTTAAGGCTTGCTTAGTTCCCAATTAAAAATATAAATGAATAAAATTATTAGTAAATAATTTTATTTATAATTATTTTTTTATTCAAATGTTTGAAGAATAATTCAATTTAAGAAATAAATATATAGAACAGTAATTAATTAAATCGTACAAACAAGAACATACTACTTATGATAATGAATTTTAAATCTAGAAATTATGAATTATGAACTTGTGTCAAATCAGATTTCAATTATGTTCTACCATTGATTATAAATTATTTATAATTAATAGCTATACACTACATTAACAAAAATGCTCTTGCATGAAATATTGTTGAATTATAATTTGAAGCGTAAATTGAAATTGTGATGTCCAACACTGTAAATGCTTATTTTTTATTTTATTACTTCAGTATCAGTTAATTATAAGTTTGAATGTATACTTTTTTTTTGATTCATCATTGTACCTATTCCATATTTGAAACTCGTTTTGTAATAGTAATTATTATTTTTATTTTCTACCTTACTTAGGTCCTACTAATCCTTTACTTTTATTGTAGGTTTATCATTCTATTAGGTGTTGGCCCGTAGAACGGAATGACATGAATTATACAATGAAAACAGCCTTTTCATATTACGGTATTACCTTCGTTTTGTTGTGGTCACACTGTATTCCATTAACAGTGCCCAGTGGATAATATGAGTTTTAGATAAACTGCGTTCATTAATTTTTCTTCGACTGAAATTTGACTTACAATTTTGAACTATTTTTACTAAATTCATTTTATTTAAACATTGTCTGGGTTTTATAAAACAACAAAATGTCGAAAACTACCAACATGAAAGATATTTTACCCGCATTCCCCGAGGAAAATATTGGTAAGTGAATGTTATAGTTAGACAAATAAAAGGGCGTGTACCTCTAGACAATTCAATACAATATCTATTTTAATTCCCAATTATTTCTTATTTTCAGATATGTTTGCCGCTACCAGTGTTTTACAGCAACAAGCAGCAGAAATAAGAAATTTGAATCCAAATTGGTCTTCTTATTTACAGTTAATTTTTGGAATCCTGGTGAATCGTCTTTCTTGTGTAATAATTTATTTTTCAATTTCTTCATAGGTCTCAGATGATATCACAAGATGTGTTTGACTTTATTAGTGCTTACGATGTAACTGATGCAAAAGGCCAATTTTTAAACAGCAACCGTCCTCAAGCTGCTAAGGCTTTTTTTAGCTTATTGGAACATATTTCAAAGGAGTCAACTATACAATATGTACTTGTACTAATTGATGATTTATTGACAGTTAGTAACTGTTATTTAAAATATTTTAAGCTTCTTTTTTTAAATTATTTATCAAAATAAAATTAAAGAATTTGACTTGTTTTTGTATAATTATTATTATTATTATATGATATGGTTAAATTGTATTTTTTATATTGTTTTATTATATTTCACCTTACAGGAAGACCGATCACGTGTAGAAATATTTCATGAATATGCTCTTAAAAAAAATGAACCTGTTTGTGGAAATTTTTTAAACTTATTGAATGCTGCAGATGGTTTCATAAATAATATGTCTGCTCGGATTATAGCAAAATTTGCTTGTTATTCAACTGATCTCATCAATCAAACTGATCTTCAGTTCTACTTGAATTGGATTAAAGAGCAACTTTTGTCTGCAGTAAGGCAATATTATATTAATAACATTTCTCATTGATTTTTCTTTAGTTACAGTCCAAAATAAATTGAAACTAACAGTGTTATAAATTGTTATACTTGTAATTTATTTTAAAATTAATTTTTACTGAATATTTATATTTTATGTACTTATATCAAATAATTGATTAGATATTTATTCACATTAATATATGATATAACAATATAATTTACTGTGTATGTGTTGTCATACTGGTTAAAGTAAATATTTTAATTTATCACAATATATTTATAGCATTTATAAATTAGTTTAATTATTTGTCTACTAATTATTCATTAGGCCAATTGTTTTAGGTACATTTTAATTTTTAAATTTCAGAACAATGAATACATGCAATCAGTTGCTCGCTGTTTGCAGATGTTATTGCGTCGTGATGAATATAGAACTGCTTTCATTTCGGTTGATGGAATATCTACTCTTTTAAGTATATTATCAGGACGAGTTAATTTCCAAATACAATACCAACTAATATTCTGTGTTTGGGTTATGACATTCAATCCAAGATTGGCTGAAAGAATGAACAAGTTAAATTATATAAGAAAATATTTTAATTAAGATACTGTCTAACTTAATTCTTATTTTTGTATTGATAGATTTAATGTTATTCCGATCTTGGCAGACATTCTGAGTGATTCTGTTAAAGAAAAGGTCACACGGATTATTCTTGCTGTATTCAGGGTAAATTTAAATTAATTGAGTATATAAGTTATTTTTTAAAATGATGATTTGAATTTTAGAATTTAATTGAGAAGCCAGAAGATAGTACTACTTCAAAAGAACACTGTATTGCTATGGTTCAGAGCAAAGTATTAAAACAACTAAGTATTCTTGAACAAAGGAAATTTGATGATGAAGACATAGTGGAGGACATTCAATTTTTGAATGAGCGTCTACAAGCATCTGTTCAAGACCTAAGGTATAGTTGATTAACATTTTATTTTATCAAAAACATTTTATATTCATTTTATCTTCATATATTAGCTCATTTGATGAGTATGCTACTGAAGTGAAGTCTGGTCGTTTAGAATGGAGTCCTGTGCACAGATCAGCCCAATTCTGGCGAGAAAATGCATCTCGTTTGAATGAAAGAAATTATGAACTTTTACGTATATTGGTGCATTTGTTGGAAACAAGCAGAGATCCACTAGTTTTAAGTGTTGCTAGTTTTGATGTTGGAGAATATGTTAGACATTATCCTCGTGGAAAACAGTATGTATAATGTTTTTATTAAATTAAAACTGTACCATACTTATTTCTTGTTTATTTTGTAGTATAATTGAACAGCTTGGTGGAAAGCAACTTGTTATGCAACTTTTATCCCATGATGATGCTAGTGTGCGTTATGAAGCACTCTTAGCTGTACAAAAACTCATGGTGCACAATTGGTTAGTTTCAAGTATATTAAAAGTTACTATAGTTTTGGGGCTAAAAAAAATATAATAATTAAAATATGAAAACATATGTTCAAATATTTTTTTTTATTGTATGTTTTATGTTTACAATTATATGAATAAATTATATAAGCAACTCAGAATTAAAAAAAAGTGAAAAGGTGGCAATAATAGGAATAACAGATTAGGAGGAAAGTATCTGATGAGTATTGGGTGCCACTTTGGTATGCACTCTACCAGTTTTTCCTGTTCTACGTCAGTTCTACACCCGTTCTATATTGGACAATGACTATTTTTTATGGATCATAGAACATGAGTGTGAGGTAGGATCAGAAATGCATTCTGATGAATAGGCTGGATATAGGTGTCTCACAAGCTAAGGTTTTATTCATAAAATGGTAAATCATTAAATCTCATATATAGATGAAAATACAGGAACCCTCACTCAAAGTATTGAAAGGTCATGGTTGGATGTGAAAATGAAATAATTGAAGAAAATTAAGGAAGTTTCTCTTCATTATTGCAGTCTCATCTTGATTACTGTTGCTAGCTAATTGACAGTAAGTCAAGATAGTCCTGATCTTTTTCTCACCATGTTGGAAGATATTCAGAAAGTGTACCAACAATAAAATTAAGTACAGTTAAAACGACGTATTGTAGAACGCATACTGAAACAAAAACTAGTTCGTAGAGCACTTATCCAATTAGAAACTTGTCGGTTGAGCACATACTGAAGTGGCACCGAGTATTGATTGTGATATTCTATGAGTGAAGGAGTCAAAAGAAACAACGAGAGTGCTATAGGACAAAAAGGGGCAATCAAACAAAATGTGAGGAAACTATAGGGGTATGAGTAGAAAGATACAGAGAGGTAAGTAATTTGAATGACTGTGAAGGAAGTAAGGTGTGACCAAAATGGAGGTGGGAAAATGAACTAATTACAGGATAAATTTAAGTTGTAAAACCATGGTTTTGAATGGAATAGTGGTGTTTACATTTCTGTGTCAAGTGGCATAGTTAAGTGGGAGATTGATGTAGGAATTGAGCCATTAAAGATTGTAACAAGATTTAAGATCAGGGCGAAAATCCAACCATGGTATCAAATTACTGGTTGTATGTTAAATGGATGCTGTGGATTTGATCAGGGAGTCTGCTATTTCACTGTTTTTATTAAAATATTAATTGTTTTATTGATTTTATAATTTGACATTATATATATTTTAGGGAATACCTTGGTCGTCAATTGGAGAAAGATCAAGGCACTACTTCAGACAGAACTGCTCTTACAGGAAAAGCTTAAAAATAAATGAAAAATAAAATCTACGAAATAAATTCATCATAATAATAATGTACAGTTGTTAAAGTTGTCATTTTATAGATTAGTTATATAAACAATATTAGTTTGATATCATTAATATATATTTTTTTTTGTTTAATTATTTATGTATTATTGTTCCAATATGGTATTTTGTGATTAATTTTTTTCTCCATATTTTAACTATACCATTATTTTATTGTAGTTAATTTTCATAGATATATACACTTAAGCAATGTTATAAATTTGATCATTCCAATATAATTCATAAGGAAATGTATTAAACAATATTTTAGTAATCTTGTTTTAGGCTTTATACATACCTATTTGTGATACAATATACTTACATGTGTTCATGTTCTCAATGTTTAAAATAGGAATGTAACAACAGTTTAAATGTGAGTACAGCATTTTGATGACAGTTACTAAGTTGAAGTGGTATATGAGTACATAATTGCATTCAAATAAGCTCAACTGAACTAAAATAAAATAGATCAATAATTTATGAAAAGTGAATCTTATCTGAATTTATCATTTGATAATTTTATAAAGGAAGAATATTCTTATCACGATGGAATGGTATAAAATTTTAGTATTTCTCTTTTGTTACTAAAACTATAGCAATATGGATCAAACTGATTAGATGTTGCTATTGATACATCCAAGGAATCACCTTATTTACGCATTTTTCGGAAATCTTATAGCAAAATATTATGTTTATATCTTTTAAGATTTTATGTATAATATTTAATAATACTGTTAATTATTAACAGGACTCGAGACTTATAGTAGGTAATTAAATTCATTCAAATAAGTGCTTAAAAAAGATTTTAAAACATTATAATCACTCAAATAAGCATTTAAAAAACTTAAATTTAAACAAAAATATTTAATAAAAAAAAAAAAAGTTACCTAGAATAGGAAAAAATTAGCAAACATTTTTAAGTTTTATTTTTACTATATATATTTATACTGTGTACATTTTTTTTACTTATTTATTATGATCACAATAACATGTTTATAACTCGGCTAACCAATACTACCACTGGACACTTGTTTGTCCACCCTTAACATTAAGTATTATATTTAAATATGTATAAGTATGAGTAGTATGATTAATAAAATATGCAAATAGATTGGATGTATAGCCATGTTATAACGTTCATCAATCTTTTTTAGCAACATTGTTCCTTCCACTTCAAGTAATGGGGAAATTGGAATATGAGTTATAAAAAGTTGTTTGATTTCATTTAAAGCTTTTGGTACTACCCCAGATTATAAGAAAATATAATTTCATATAATCTGTGGTACTACAAAAAGTCTTGGCGTATCACTCTCAAGATTAGTAATCCAATTAACTATTGGACGAATAAGAGTGATAAAATGTTTAACATAGTTCCAATATTGATCTGATAATATGTGAGGATAATATCTTGTGTTTCATTGTTTTATCTAACTTTTCTATTATCTTAACAAAAATAAACGTGGACAATATGTATGTTTATAATAAATTTCAATATTTTTTCAATGTACTTACATTTATATCATAAGAAACTGCTAAATTCTGTTGTGTGCATTTATTTTTTTAGACTTTCTAAACAATTTATGAATGAAATTTATCTAGTTTTTACTGAAAGTTTGAAGGAACATTTGATGTTTTTTGCTTTTTGAATACGTGTAAAATTAGCAATAAAAATCAAATGTTGCTAGTGTTAATGTGCACATGAAAAAATTTGAAATAAATGGTCACTCGATTTTTAGAACGGTAAAAAATATTTACCGCGTACAAAAAATATCGGTAAAATTTACCAGGTAAATTTACTGAGCTCCCATCTATAGTTATTATTTAAAATTTATTAATATAGAATATTATTTTTAAAATCGGTTTGTACATTTAAAGTATTAAAATTATTTTTCTTTATTTCATTGTGTATGTGTAATTCTTTTAAAACGGAATTAATGTAAATGCTATTTTGAGTATTAATATTTCTAAGTCTATGTTGATATAAAAATGTAATATATATATATTATGGTGTTTTCTAAACCATGTTTCAAAGATTTAAATTGGAAACAGCATTGGCGCAACTAGGGGGTGGGCTAGAGGGGACTTAGCCCTCCCTGACTGCAATTTAGCCCTCCAGAAAATATTCCATGTTGATTAAACTATAGTCAACATTTTTTTTCCAAATTAAAAATATTAAAATTATAGTTAACATGTTATTTGTGATAAAATCATGATAAGACATATGTGGATACAATATTTACGACAAATCTGTTTTTAGATTAAGACTGTGGGTAATGCGTACCTACTAGAGATCAGCACTGGCCGGCCTAGCCCGACCCACACCGGGCTTGGTCCGGGCCGCGTATTACCAAACCCTAGAGTGCCCCAGCGCCTTATTCTAATACGCTGTTCTCATTAGTTGACCTCATTATGGCCGAGCCATAATTTTAATATTATTTTAATATATTTTTAATATATAATTTAATTTTATCAACGCAACAAACGTACGGAATAAAATATGATTTACTTAACTTTCTACTAAAATGATATAATTTAAAATATAAATTATGAATTGAAAAATTTAAAATTTTGAATATACATGGCATTCATTTTTCAAGTAACTCTGATGGGCCAACTGTCCAAGAGTCCAAATCAAGGTCTGAAAAGAGAAAAAAATTTCCAAGAGGCCAATTTTGAAAAAAATATTAACTGTGGTTCAGTTGACCCCCTGAACCCCTGAACCCCCCCCTAGATCCACCACTGCTGTAGCACGCGGCTGACGCAGTGCGTCCGAGATTTTGGACGCGCGGCCGATCACGGATTTCTTAAAACGCAGCCGCAAGAGATGCACTACTCATATTTTTCATACATAATAAAATATTATTTATTAGAGCCCTTCAGTTATTTTTCTACGTTTCAATAGTCAACAGTGTATTGTTAATTATTAATTTTATTGTGTATAGTGAATACCTAAAATATTATATACAGTGAAGTGTAGGACGTAGGTATCATGTTATTTAATCTGCAGAAAAAGTATGCTTAATGTTTTAAATCAAACAAGCAAGGGTGATTGCTGACCAATTCAACCAACATTACATCTTATTCGTACGAAAATAGTATTTTTGATGACATATTGTAGAAAAAGAAGCTAATAATTATAATTATTAATTAAATAATAATATATTTGCATATGCTGGTCGCGCGTCTCGTGTGATCTGACTGCCTTCGAAGCGGTCATCGCAACGCGTCTATTGACGCATGTGACTGTCACGCGCGTCTGCAGCGGTCTAGGAAATCCGTTTCTATTTAAAAATAAATAAAGTAGCATCAGTGCGTCCAAAATCTCGGTCGTACTGCGGCAGCCGCGTTGGCCGCGCGTCTACAGACGTGTCCTAAGGAATCGCACCTTAATAACACATTTAAAAGGCTTCCGAAAATGACGGCTTCATTAATATTTAACACTCATATATATAACTTGTAAATGATAAAATTTTAATTTTTTTATTTTAAAAATGTCATGCCTGTGTACCAAAGTAGCATTAATAAATATAGCTACCTCTAAATATGGATATATACTGCTACGTGTATTGGTAGTGTATTGTAACTTTTTAGATATGTATGGCATACATTATGTACTATGTAATAAGTGCGGATTAAGAACATATCTAAGTATAAAAGTTATTACTAGTTACAAATAATTATTATATTATAATAATAATATAATTAATACTGCAGCACTTCTTAATTTAATAGTGATAATCAATATGATTTGTGTATTATAAATGCATCAAATTTTAATTATAGCTTCTCTAAAATTACAATTAATAATCGTTATATATATATATATATATAAATGTACGTGTGTTTCTACTGCATTGATATCATAATCTTGTTATGTACAATCAATAGTTGTGTTAAAGTACGAAAATCCCAACATGCCACCAGGACAGTCGGTTATCCATTAGTAATTGTGTACAATTAATTTGTTGTCAAGTCTGAATAATTGGAACGAGTGTGCATATAGTGTGTTTGCAACTATTTCATTACGTTCGTTTTATTGCACGCGACAAGGTTATAATAAATTGTTCATCGACCAACTATTGTCATATAGAAGCTGCTGTACCTATATTGTATACGTTCTTTTTTAAACCGTATGAAAATGTGCGACGAAGATACCGTGAATGTTGATAAAGACTTGAGTTTCGGTACAAAACTCATACATTCCGGACACCACTCCAGCGAATGGACTAATAATGACGTCGTGCCGCCTATATCACTGAGCACGATATACAACTCGGAGTCACCAGGAGTTATTAAAGTAAATTTGTTTTCTTGTACACAGGCATATTCACTTAGAGTTAAATAACAGGGTTTTTTTTTTTTTTGTATTACTGATAAATTAATCTTTTTTTTAATTTGCATCTGTGCTTATTATGTGAAGGATATATAAATATTTGGGGTTCTAAGCCTTTTAAGCTCCAATAAATTTACTTCTATGTTCACGAGTCCCATATTTTATTATGACTTGGACTTAATTCATTATTTTATATCCCCAAGAACCAAATTTTTCAATATCCTGATCGGTAATGCAAATAATATATTAATATAACATTCAAAAACATATTGTAAAGATTATTGTGATTTTAATCCTATTAATTCTTTAAGCTGTACATATTTTTACTTAATTCGATATTATTTATTGTCAGGCTGTATAAAAATGTATTTAACATAATAATTTTTCAACAATGTAAAACGAAAAAAAAAATAAAAAATAAGTAATTCAGTATAGATACAATTTAGGGAAGACAAAATACATGGTTATGTCAAGACAATTAACCCCCAAGAGCAATCTCAAGATTCACGGATACTCTTTCGAACAAGTAAAAGAGTTTAAATATCTAGGGGTGAACATTAATGTGGAAAATAGCATGCATGAGGAGATAAAGATCAGACTGATGATGGCAAACAAAAGCTATTATGCAATGAAAGAGATGTTCACGTCGAAGTTACTGTTGCGACGAACAAAGGAAAGATTGTACATAACCTATTTGCGGCCAATAGCGACGTATGCATGCGAGACGTGGGCGAGCAC